TATATTTTCACTGCCTTTATTTCAAGAAAATTCACAAAAAATAACCAAAAGTACCTACGGACAACGCAGGCCAACGGTACGGAAAAGTTCGGAATTACCAATGTAATTCTTTTTATTTCTCATTTCGTTCGTTTGTTGTTTTGTCTACGTTACTTCATCGTGTGTTTTTATCTGGTGCTTTGAATTCCGCGGCATTATTTTTTTTATTCGTTTCGTTTCTGCTTAGTACGTACGCGCCCGGTCAATATTTGTGATGTCACTTGAAGTGAGTCTGTCAATTGTTTGTTGAATACACACCATTTTTCCACAATTGCACAGTACGTTTGGTTCGGTTGGCTGCATCAAAGGAAGCAACCAAATTGATTTTTCGTGTCATTGAATTTTTGCCAAGTATGAATATACACAGCCGGCTGTGTTTATTCTTCTACTTCGTTTTTTGTGAATGATTTTAATTTTAAATTGTCATATTCTTCGTGTTTTTTCACATCGCCACAACAGCCGTATTTCTTGGCCAGAAGAACATCATGCTTTTAGCTTTAATTACTCTCATGCCTATCTAAAGAATAGAACGAAATTGGCCACTAAGTTGGAGCAAAAACGAATAAAATGAACTAATAACTTCCGTTAAATGGCGAATAAGATTGAATGCGTTGCCGTTGTCGATGAGTGAACATGACATCAACATAGTGGCAAATCGTGTTTGAGTCATGCACTCTACAGGCACACCGAACAGATAAAAAAACCACTCTGAGAAAGAGAGCAACGTGTGTGAAACAAAGCACACAGAAAAAAAAGAGTTTGAGTTATCAAAACATTTATACAATGCTTCGGCTGTTATATCGTTCTTCATCGCAGCGAAAGAAGATGCACCGCGTCGACAGAAGAAAACAATGCAGCCAATGAACTTGCCGAAGGGGAAACATTCTCAAAGTCGATACATGTTTCTCTCATGTTCTTTTTATGTAAGCGAAAAAAAATGTTGCTTCGTGTTTAAGATGCTATCGAATCGACTTGATTACAAATTAGAAAAATTTATCAGCAAATGGATTATAGTTGGAACATTTTCCATCTTAGCAAATCGAGTATTATTTAATTATTACAAAGCCAACCCAGTGCGTTAAACACACTGAGTTCAAAAACGATGATGAGTTGATCCAAGCGCTCGACAGTGACGGTGAATTGGCAACACAGTTTGTTGGCTTTATTGAGATGCCGCTGATAATAATTTTGACATGTTTGCTCAAGTTGGTTCAACAGTAATTTTCATCTTTTCCAACGACATAAAATCGATAAAACACAATGAAAATTCTTCTTCGCGTTACTTGGCGACAATTTCGCTCTATTTGAAGTAAGAAACGAAAATTACAAACTTCTTGAACATTTTCCATGCTCTGTCGAGCCATCAAATCAATATACAGAAAATATAATTTGTGCCGCATGATAAATGCCGAACCCTTGTCGTTGTACATGACATAGACATAGATTCCAATCACAACGTCGTCAGCACTTTATACAATCCGAATGGAAAATTTTTCGATATTTTTTCATTGCATGCAATCTTCAAAAGCAATCACACTTCGTGTAGGAAATACGACAGCGAGAGAGCAAGTTTTGTGGTAAGAATTGGAACCTTGCGGCATTTTCAGTATTGTCACACTATATACTACTTACTCGGTTTCGATCAATATCACACAAAAAATGACACGCTCATTCAAGTGCATGCCGGTCATTCAAGCAAATTGATTACACTCGACAACAAGGCTCTCGTGACATTAATTATTATGAGAAAAAAAACAACACCACACAATTTGAAATATAAAAACAGTCATGAAATGGATCAAGATATTGATTTATTTCGCTTTAATCCCATTAAATTATCGTTATTAACCGCAATTTGTTCTGTCTGTTTTCAGTGACTTCGCACATGAGATAAAATCGACATTAGACAAAGTTCACATATTACGAATCGTGAGAGAGCACAGTTCACATCGAGTAATTTGAATTGTTCCACGACAAACTAGGATGTGAAAGTGAATCAATCAGTCTCATCAGTGTAGTTCTATCGTAGTTTTGGTTTCATCGAAAGCATCCCGGATCAAATCGTGCACATCGCATCGTCATTTCCATTTTTGTTTTCGGAAATTGAAACACATTCCAACTAAACCAAAACGATGACATTCAAAGTACTGCGACGAGGTACACCGAAATGTATCGGATTGTTGTCGCTGTTGGTCGTGGTCATTGTTTGCTTGTATTACATTTCGATTGGACAACAGTACAATCCGAAAAATTTGCTGAAACGACGGTAATTGTCTCCCTCTTTTTTTATTGTCCCCGAATGAAATGCTCGTGTTTTTCAAGTTATTTGCACCGGAATGCGTTCAAATAATGCCACTGTGATATTAAGAACGAAATATTAAGCCGTATTTTGTTTGCCAATTGACAAACAGGTCGGAGAGTGCTGCATTGCTGGCAGATAACAACAATTTGGAAGATGATGGCGGACGAAATGATGCAAAGGATACACATTTCGACCAAGCAAATGATGTAGCGAACAATCAACGGTGGAAAAAATGCGTGGCATTAAAAGAATCCGAATCAGATATAACAACTCAAGAGGAATTTTATAAATTCGACTTTCAGGTAAACTAAGACGCACATTCCAAAGCAATTTACATTTAGATAATTTGATGTCTTTTCCACGAATCGACTAATTGTGCTTTTAAAACCAAAATTCCGTTTGCATTTCTTTTTGCCATAGCCAAATTGGTTGCGAAACAAAGAATTCTGGGATATGTCATTTGAAACGCGATATGAAGCACTCAAGCGAAGCGATCGACCAAATCTGCGGGTTTTCATCACACCATTTTCTCATAATGATCCCGGTTGGCTGAAAACATTCTTGGGCTACTTCCAACAGGATTCGCGGCAAATTTTGAATTTTGTCATCGATCGAATGCATGAGTACAAAGATATGACATTCATTTGGGCGGAAATTAGCATTTTACAATTATGGTGGGACCAAGCACATCCAACGAAGCAACGGGCACTCAAGCAACTCATCAATTCCGGTCGATTTGAAATAGTGACTGGTGGATGGGTAAACAATTTTTACTAATAATTCATGACAATTCTTCATAAAATTTGTATTTGCTTGAATTTCACTAAAAAAAAATTGTCCTTTCATCCGATTAGGTAATGACAGACGAAGCGAATGTCCATCTCTATGCAATGGTGGATCAATTGATTGAAGGACATCAATGGCTAAAAGATAACCTGAACTATACACCAACAACTGGATTTTCAATCGATCCATTTGGTCATGGCAGCACTCTACCGTATTTGTTGGCCGCGAGTGAATTCAAAGGCACCATCATTCAACGCATACATTATGCTTGGAAACAATTTTTGGCAAAGAACCAATACGGTAGTCACTTGTGATTTAGTTGACGCATCCATTTTCATTTCTAATCGATTTTCGCTAATTTTTAGGTGACTTTCATTGGCAACCATATTGGAAGATGGAAAATGCTCATTCTCGTACACTTCTCACACACAATATGCCCTTTGACATTTATTCCATTAAGCACTCATGCGGGCCGCATCCATCGATTTGCCTGAATTTCGATTTTCGTAAAGTTCCCGGTGAATATACGGAATACTCAATAAAGGCACAGTTTATTACAGAGGACAATGTCGAAGCCAAAGCCGATTTATTGTTGGAACAATATGCAAAGGCTGCTACGCTTTATCCTCATAATGTTGCGTTTGTGCCACTCGGTGATGATTTTCGATACAACCGTGAAAATGAAGTCAGTCAGCAGTATACGAATTACAAACGTTTGATCGACTACATCAACGGTCATCCCGAACGATATAACAATACGAAAATCTCATTCGGTTTGCCGAAAGATTATTTTGAAGAAATCAATCGGCGGCATCAGAAATATCCACACTTAAAAGGGGATTTCTTTGTATACTCAGACATTTTTACGGAAGGAAAGCCAGCCTACTGGAGTGGCTACTTCACAACGCGACCCATGTACAAATTGCTGAGCCGTGAATTAGAGCACAATCTGCGATGTGCTGAAATTCTATTCACTGTTGCACTTAATCATGCACGACAACACCATAATTCGAATGCATTACGCATTTACGAGAAAAACTATGAGAAAATGATAATAGCACGTCGAAATCTGGGCTTATTCCAACACCATGATGCCATTACGGGTACATCGAAAGCGTTGGTCATGCGAGATTATGGTTCACGACTTTTTGATAGTATTCGTGATACGGTTCAATTGCAAGAGACCACCATTGAAATGCTGATGCAGAGCCGACCATCGTCCGACAAATATCACATTATTGTCAGTGAACTGGAACGAGACAGTTTTAATAAACTGCCAAAGAAAACGCCAATCGTTGTGCATCAGCATAAACCCATTGAAGTGGTACTGTTCAACGCACTGGCACAAGACCGGCTTGAATTGATTGCGTTACGCACACGTACACCAAATGTAAAAGTGTTGGACAATAACGGCAATGAAGTAAAAATTCAAATAAATCCGGTGTGGAATCTCACCGATAGCTCAGACAATCTACAAACGGTCAACGTACTCCGAGCGTCGAATAGTTTGTTCGAAGTGATTTTTGTGACAAATCTTCCTCCATTAGCACTAGTTACATATACCGTCAAGTATTCGGAGAAGAGAGACTCATTGGCAACCGTTTACTGCAATGAATGCAAGGAGAGCAATACGGTGGATCGAAGTGGCGATGTGTTTGATGTTAAGGTACGAAAGGCGGGTGATATTCAATTGGAAAATGCTCAAATGCGACTACTTTTTGACGGAGTCAGCGGTTTCTTAAAGACAATAACACCGAAAAATCATCGCAAAACCGTTCAATGCGCTGTGAAATTTGCCGCATACCGCAGTGCACAATTCCATTCGGGCGCGTATTTGTTCAAACCGGATCGAGAGGAGAAGGACAGCGAGAAGGATGTACTGGAGCAATATACGGGGAATCAATTGATTTTCATTACATCGGGTGTGATATCAAGTGATGTCACGGTTATTTATGGCAACTTATTGGCACACACCATTCGCATTTTCAACAGTGGCACTGCATTGGATAATGCCATTTACATTGAGAATGATATCAATTTCGAAGCACCGCCGAAGAACCGGGAAACTGAACTGTTTATGCGATTCGTAACGAGCATCGATAATGGCGTTCGGTCGGTGATGTACAGCGACCAGAGTGGATTCCAATATCATCGCCGTGAAAAGGTTCAGAGCTTAGGCATTGAAGCCTCGTATTACCCAATTACACAAGGTGCTTTCATTCAAGACAATGAACTTCGATTGACACTGTTGACAAATCATGCTCAAGGTGCGGCCAGCCTTGAGCCCGGCTACTTGGAAGTAATGTTGGATCGACGAACACTCTATGACGACTATCGTGGAATGGGCGAAGGCGTTGTTGACAGCCAACTGACGCAACAACGCTACTGGATTGTACTGGAGCAAATGGTCGAAGGGACCAATGACGATATGAACAATGTTCCACCCACTCCGAATCGTGACTACGAAACGCCAAGCCATTTTGTCAATCGTTTATCCAACGTTTTGAACTATCCGGTGAATTTGTTCTTCGTAGAGAATCAAGAAGATACCACTCGAATCGAACTACACAAGCATGTTCCATTGGTCAAAATGCATTTCCCATGCGATGTGCATTTGGCAACACTGCGAACACAAACCGAACGTGATTTGCCGTTATTCCCAGCGCAACGAGCGTTACTGGTTGTTCAGCGGCAGGCAGCCTCGTGCAAAGTTCGAGTGGTCGGCAATCTCTGTCCCAACGAACATGGTTTCAACGCTCATGGCTTAGATGTATTCCATAACATTGCATTAGATCGTGTTTATCAGACATCGCTGACTGGCGTCTATCAACACAATCGAATCAATCAATTCAATAGCGTTTATATCGAACCAATGGATATGGCAACATTCAATTTGACTTTCGTTTAAAAAACAAACAAAAAACCTCCGATCCGTATGAAGAGCTAATTTATTTCGCATAGATTTTAGTGCAATATTATTACCAGTATTAATTTTAAGTCCCTTTAGTTTTTTTTATTCGATTATCGTTTATGTTTTCGACCGTTTTTTTTTTTTTTTTGTTTGTGCAAAATGTCAATTGTTTGTGTATAAAGTAAGGTAATTTTGTGATTTCGAATGATGCAGAAATAGGAATAATTTGTTTCTTGAAACATGCGATATATAGAATGGAATGGTATAGATTCAAACGGCTTAAGTGGAAATGAACTGAATGGACCTATTTGATCAACAAATTACAAACTTAAATCGAACCACTTAATATAATTTTTTCATAAAAGTGATGGTAGCAAAAGTGACAGCTGAACCAAATATTAAAATACTTTTTTTTGGGAAAAAATCATTTCCATTAAATCTTACCATTTAAAAATCGGATGAATACTGAATAAAATCACTATGACAGCATTTATTCAACCGTGTTACAACATAAACCAAAAAAATCCATTCAATAAATGAAACCCCATAACAAACCCTCCCCATGAATAGAGAAATAGAATTTCTAAGTACAAAACAAATGATAGAAACAGAAATACACTTTTTCAAAGCCAAGAATGCTAATCATTTACCGAATATCGCCCCGTATGTGTATATAGCTGCAACACCTTGTGATTAAGTTTTGTTAGAATGAAAATCAAGGCTGAACAACGCAATTATTTCGAAATATATTTTTCTAAACATTTTAAATGTTTTGAAACTTTGTCGATATTATACAAATACCTAGGGGGAAAAATCATTTTTTTCATCTTTTATATCCGCACGCATCAAGTAATAACTTAGAAATTCAATGGTATGCATGTAAATCCGAAATATCCATGTATATTCAACAATATTCATCGTGAACGACGAATGAATATTACTGAATATACATAGATATGTCAAATTTACGTGTATATGAATGAAAAATAAAATTAATAGTGAATCAATCCTTCAACCTTAAATTTGATTGATTTTGGTAGATAACGGTGAATATTGGAACATTTTTTGTCATTACAGTCTAATGAATATTATTAAATATACATAGATATTTGAGATTGACGTGCATACCAGTAAATTTGTGCAGATTGTATCGTCAAAAATGTTCCAATATTCATCGTTATCCACCAAAAACCTTCAAAATTGGTTCAAATTTTCGGTTGAAGGTTTGATTCACTATTATTTTTATTTTTTCAGAGTTATTTGCGTTCTGCAAAATCGCGTGAAGCCCCTAGACAAATACTTTTTGACGGTGCTATTTTCTTTGGCGATATTTTTTTCACTTCATGTTAATGAAAAAAAATTTACAAAAATCTAGTATGAATACTGTATCAGTCAAAAATCATTTAATGATATTTTATTTTAACTTTTCTTATTCTGAATCAGAATTTCTGATAAAAATACGTATGCTGTTAATTCACGCTAACGTTTTCGGAAACCGTGTTTCCATCATCAGGCGAGTTGAACGAAAACACAAACACTGATCGATGTATTCCATCAACATCATACCGTTCACAACAAATGAAATTTTAATCATTTAATTCGTTTTGTTATCGTGCAGTAAATTTACCTTTGAGTGGTAAAATTATCAAAAGGAGGTTGATAAATTGTATGAAATAGCCGACGTGAATGGCTTCAGTGGAAAAATTGTCAACACACTGTTGAAAAAACATAAAGAAAAGAAAGAATTGAATGATTTAAGAACTTTGGGAAATTCAATCAATAACGTGGATTTTTTTTAAATGGAAAATGAAAAACTTAATCTGATTTGAAGAAAAATTTGATTTAAAATTTAGCGAAAAATGGGATTCAATTTACTTTGGAAAAAATTCTCTTTTTTTGGTCAAAAAAATTTATTCAATTGAATAAACAAATTAAATTTTAAATTCAAAATTATTTTATTGCTTTAAATTTCACTTTTATATTGCAAAATATATCATGTGAATTCATAATTTTTTGGTCAATTATAGTTTTAAATTCGATTTATTAATTTAAACGATTTAAATTGGTTGAAGAAAAAATGTTTCGAAATAATTTGTCAGCCTTGATGATATGTGAAGAAAATAATAATTTTTAGTGCAAAACTACCTAATCACCAGAAATAAAAATTAGGTTTTATTTTTTAAACAAAATTATTTTAGAAAAAACCGAACATCGAAAGTTAGTTTGAATTGGGCATCAAATCAAATAACGAACAAAGATATTTGATGGATTAAAAGGCTCTCGGAAATCGCCTATGTTGTTTTTGCCAAAAACGTCAATGTCATTAGCAGCATTGACGTTCCACTGACTTAAAAGCATTTAAATGTCAATTGCTTTAACGTTCTAGCCACAAATTTCCGAGAGCCTTTGATTGAAAGGCCAATTTGACGAATTAAAGTTCATTTGACGAATGTTATTCATTGAATGTGAACGATAGAGCGAGACATGATAACCATCCGTCTGTGAATATTGTCAAGAGAGAATATTTGAACAGATACAGAATCGATAGGTGTAATATGGCTTTAATCCCAAAAGTATTCATCTGATTGTTTTAACAATGATTTAAGTGAATATTGTAGATAAAAAAGAATCTCAATAGAGAAGGAGAATAATGATGAATTTTTTTTTTCTTCTGTGTATTTATGAATTTCGAGTGGTACGTCGATTAGACGTAATAAATGAATGATGTATTTATTTTTATTTTACCGGGAATTTGATAATAAAGAATGATCACCGTGATGTGATTCCTTTAGAGTATTTGTACCATTTTCGTTCACAACACACATACACGCACCCATACAAAACATCAATGTATCAAACAACAATTGCATGTTACTTACTATTTTCGATGCTAAAATTTCAACTTTTGATCCTGATAAAATACTTTCTATGAAGAAGAGAGAAAAAATATCATGAGGACACTCTGCCTAAATTTATAGTTATAGACTTTAGAAAAAGAAGAAGAAATTAACTAGTTAATTTACTTAGACAATTCCAAACCACAAACAGTCCAAACAGAATATAAATGAGATTTTTTTAATAAAATATATATGAAAAAAAAAGCAAACACGAAGTATTTTGTCATTTTCAAAACGGATTTTTATTATTAGTTTCTAATGGCACACACATGTTCACTGGTGAATCATTGCAGCGAACGAAAGCAAATAGCAATTGTAAGCAAAAAATATCAAGTTTATTGAAGTGAATCCAACTGGAACCAAATCTTGGTTGGTCACATTTTCGTGTAGATTTTACGAGTGTGCTGCGATATGCGCCTGCAGGGACGTCGGCAGCTGTTGAGTGACTAGCGACAGTTTGAATTGCAACAGGACGATCAAATAAATTGTAATCGTTGCAATTGACTGTAAAACAAGCGGCAAAAGACTTAAGTATTTGAAATTATGCGACGTTTCAAAATATCTTGAAAATCACTTACCGATGACAACAGTTCGCGATTTACATCAGCATAGCCCTTGAGCGAAACCACTGCTGGATTCATTTCGATTGCCTGAATGAATAAATCAATCTGCACCAAGAGAAATCATTAAAAAGTCGTCGGAAAATGAACATAGAAACGGAAATGAAAATCACCTCTTTTTGCGTTGGCAAATCAACATTGAATAAATTAACTGAAAGTAGTGTGTCCTGTACACCTTGAGCAACCTGAAATGGAAATTACCGTGAAACGACAACCACAAAAAGCGCATTCGATCAGTCTCAAGTAAAATAAAAATGAAAAAGACGAAAGAAAGAAATGCCAAAAAAAAACACAGCAGTGGCCACAGTAACAAAGCGATTTCATTGCGAATGAAAAAAAGTAGCCGAGCAGATGGTAAGGTGATAGTCGTTATGGTGCGTGCAAAACTCTCTTTCTAGAAAGATTCGGTGAAACTCGCCGAATACACACAGCATTGTGTGTGTGTGTGCATGCAGTTAGCTTGCTTTTATGCTTGTGCACCGTTTTTGTCTTTCACGTATGAATGCCTGTGAACATATACACTATTTGAGATACGTGTGTGCAAAGCAGTAGGCTGAAGCATGCAAAAAAATGCAGCAGCAACATCAGCAACAGCACTGAAATGCTTGACGATATTATTATGTGGTGTGCGCTGCTCTGATCTCTCCATGTTTCACACGAGATTTTGTTTTTGTTTTACCGTTAAAGTTGATTTATGCGAACAGTCGCAGAACACAAACAGCAGTATTGAACAATACGTTGCGTCGACTAAGAGGCCCATTTCTTTAAAGGAAAATCTAAATCCGTGATCGAATATCTCGGAAACCGCTCCATAAACTGCAATTGTGATGTTGACAAACCTAAAAGAAAGTATAATTGTAGCCTCAAACTGCTCTACAAAAAATGCCCCGTTAAACATATCTCTAGACGACGTCGATGGCAATGTGTGAAGTTTTTTTTAATTCATTTCATGCCGATGAATTTTTATCTCTTTCTCGCTTTTTGTCAGGCTGTAGCCGAGAATGCAAACGCATCAGTGACAGTGTTTCCACTGACAGACTGGCTTGCATTCTCTCTCGATTTGCGCGACAAACACATTCCAATGAAAGCTATTTTCTTTCACCCAAAATCAATGAATAAAAAAAACTACGCATTCAAGCCGTCATGTGCAATGGAGTTGATAAAATGAAGAGAAAAAAACGAGAAAACGTTTATAGCAACAACTGAAAAAAAAAAATAACGAAAGATACACGATAAATCAGCTTACATGAACAAGCAATACGTGGAGTAAGTACGTGCATATGCATTTCCCAGCGCCTGCAAGAGCTCACTCAAATTCAGCCACAGATAACGATATTGCGATATTATGAACGCATTAATATCCTCATTCAAATCCTGTTCACATGGCACAAATTGCCACAGAGAGCCAAAAAATGAAAATTATAATGTTTACGCTTCACTTTTTAAATGCCGGTAAAAGATCGTGTCTTGCACATTTCACTTTATTGTTTCGTTCGCCTTCGACACGGTACAATCGACTGAACTAACCATACGTTTAGGATGGAGTGAACTGAACACTGAACACGACATACAAATCAATTAATCATATTCAGCGAAAAATGGTGTCTAAGTGAATGGGTTTTCTGATGATGAGCTCACTCCACCCTAAGATCGAAATGATTTACCTCTTTGAAAGTATTCGAAAGACTCTTTGATGCTTCCTTAATCCCGCGGCAATTGATATACCTTTTGGTTTTTGTTTTTGCAAAATTGCATGGGAAAATGAGAAGAATAAAGAGATTATTTTTTTTGAGTTCGACCCAGGGCCAAATTCACTGTGCTGCAAATGAAACTGTTACCATAAGGCGCAATTCATATTAATCATTGTTATGATATGAAAATAAGCCGATGTATGCCAGAGTAAAAAGCCTGAAAAATTTTCATACATATCAAAGAATTATCATCTTTAAAATAGATCGTTTCCAGAATATCATGTATCGCCCGAAACGCAATGTCGGCCGATAAATGGATAAAATTATAAATTGGCGCGCCAAACCTTCAAGCAATGCACTTAGCGACATCAAAAATAAGAGAGCGCACAATAAGCATCCAATTGATATGAAGTACAGTAACATTTTCAATCGTGGAAATACCAAATTTCGTCCCGTTACCCGATAATATCGAACCTACAAAAGTGAACAAATCATGCTGAGCAATCGTACAATTCCAAAACGATGAATGCGTAAAATGTAATTATTTTTTTTTTGTTTTTATTTTTCTGGATAAAATCATAAATGCTCGATCAGTCATAAATGCTCGAAAGCAAGGCCAACTCCTATCGAAATTGAAAAGTACTTTCGCATTTTCGACAAATTGATGCGTCGTTTTCTCTGCTTCTCTGCTACTTCACCTTTTTCCCCTTTGTTAAATTCTTTTTGGATGGTATCATTCAATGATATCATTCAATGGTATCCACATCGACACCATCGTATTCAATCGACAAAAATGAAAAAAAAAAATAAAGAAAAAGAAAAAAGTATCACGCGTAAGAGAAATTTAACAAATGGAATTCGAAACCATCATCCAGAGAAAGAATTGAACACACAGTGACGTGATGATGATGAGAGAAGAAATAAATGAAAATGAAAAAAAAAAAAACAAATCCATTTACCTGAAAAGAAGCCCACATTGTTTTGTAAACGGCAACTTCTTTCGCCACACCTGTGCAATACGTATTGCAAACGAATCATCATCGTCGACAATGAATGCAAATGGATCACATATACACACAGCACATCAATACACGGCCCGGACGGGCAGGCAGAACGATAAAACGAAGTGTAATGGAGGAAAGAATTATTAGCAATACTAGAGTATAGAAGAAACAAATCGTGAAATACACAATAAAAAAAAAACGAAAATAAAAACGCACAGAATACATTCCGATTTTCAAGAAATTTGAGAAAAGAAGAAGAAAAAAACTGTTCGCTACGATTGGAATGTGTTTATCGTATTCGATGTGCGTTCGGCTTCATTTCGAAGCAGAAAGAATCGTTTCAGCCGAACTGACATGAATTCGCAAAATCGGAATATTGATTTACTTACCCCAACCGACGAACGGTATCCAAAAATGTGGCACCAAAAATATGACAAAAATGTAAGCATAAATTTTCTCATCGAATCGCTTCGTTTCGCCAAGTATGCGAATACGCTCTCTGCCCACATAGAATACGACAACTGTCATTCCGATGTAGAAGAAGATGGCATAAATTGTGGCCAACGATTTCCAGCTGAATGTCACTCTTCCTGTGACGCGTGAAAGTAAAATTGGAAATGGAAATGAGGCGTATTGGTTGGTGCAGTTTTTGGTCCCACTGGGAGCGAGCGAGAGAGAAACAGCATAGTAACTTACCGGGCGATGATCGAGTGATAGGCATTACAGCGAGCGCGCGAAAAAGTACCAACAATAGCTTATGGTCTCGATAGAATTGATCATGAAATTCACCCGTATCTCCATCGGCCGAGTTGAGTTGAGCACGTTCTGCACGTTTCTTATCACCTTGAAGAAAAAAAAAGGAATCCGAAATGAAAAAAGAAAAAAATTGAAAGAAATAGCATAGTGATCACGCGCCAGTCGCGACAACCATCGATCATTAGAATCTAACCATAGCCAATTGGTAATGGTAATGGCGACTCGACTCACGGCACATCTGCATTATTCGGTATTCAATGGACATATTCGGTATTCAATGGACAAATAATGTGAAATCAATGATTCACACACACACACACACACACACACACACTGGCTGGTGTACAGTGTACAGTCTTAAATTGTTATCGCAGATCATACATTCACTTTCTACAAATGAAAACGATGAACGTGATTGTCGTCACAATGCAAGCAAGAGGAAAAATGTCGGGCTAACGGGCTTACGAAAAATAAAAACCAACAGTACAGACACTCAGCCCATTGCTTCAAAAGATCAACTGTCGTCGTCATCGTCGCCGTCATTGTCACAACGTGGAAATGCATTCACTGGGTAAGTAAGTAATGTTGTGTTTAATGTGTACGTTGAACCTGAACGGTTTGAAAAATCGGTTTCGATTGTGCACACAGAGAGCAATTGTCTACCTAGGTCAGCGACTTACGTATAATCTTCTGACGATCCTCATACGGCAGAATCAAATTTCTCTTTTCTTTCGACATATCGTAAATTTGACTGAGATCAGCATGGAGCATTGCATGCTTAATGGACGTATCGTAATCATCATCCGGTATCATATACATGTCAGTATCGGATTGTTATTATGTGTGTTTTGTTTCGCGTACAAAACGGCCGATTTGAACTGCAAATTCAAGCACAACTGCTGATCTTCAACGATTATAGAGTTATAATGTAATCTAATGATGATGTTAACTTCTGCGGCTGCTGAGGATGCTGTTTCTTTTGTTGCACAAAAGAAATTGGCCAGCAAAAAAAAAACGATGACAGGCCACTTATTGGAGATGATAAATTTTCTCTTTGTTTCCCAATTCTATGCAAACTTCTATGAACTTGCAACAAATTTTTGAATATTTTTCGTCGGTTTTACTCGCATCCAATTGAAATGGCTACACACACACACACGAGTAGTTAACATACAATGAACTCGTAAAGTTGAGATACTTGGTAATTTATTGAATGAAAAGAAACGAAAAACGGCATTACTTTCACTTTAAATTGAATTTGTAGTTTATTTTATTTAACCACCCAACTGAATGGATACAAAAGGCGAGTTAGCGTGCCACGGTTGATGTGCTCTCTTATAAATTTCGTAAAGTTTGAATTAAAATCGGATGTGCGGACTGAACAAAAATGAAATTTACAAGACTTGAAATTAACAACGTGAATTACGACCGACGTGTAAAGTTGTACTAAACAGAATGATCAACTATTTTCGTCGATTTTAATAGTTCCCAATAAAATTTGATGACTAAATTATTTCTTCCGTTCAGCACGATTTTTATTGGTGGTTTTATTGTTTTTACACTTTTCATCCCATTCATCCCATATTCATATCGTTCGCGTTTCTTTTACAACTTTAATAAAATGATGATTCGATTGTGTGCCAGTAATGATAATGACGATGACGAGAACGACGAAGACCGTGTGTCTTATGTGAAGCCATACGCGGTGCGATCTGTTTGCCCATTAACTATTCAGTACGAACAGAAGAAGAAGAAGAAAAAACGGAGCATAGTTTTGTGCAATTGACACACAACTTAGCCTCTTTTACATTGCGCCTCAATCAATGAATAATTTCGCAATGTTTTATGCTTATTCTATTTAGTCGGTTTAGATGATGGACATGCAGCACGATATGTGAATCTAAATTTTATGACCGTTTATAAATTCATTTGGCCATCGAAATGAGGGGAAAACTCACGAGAACTTTCGATTGCCCATTGCTGCGGTTGCCACCATCGCCGCCACGGTTATTACAGTTGCTGCTCGTTGTTGTTGGCGTCGCATTCGTTTCAAGTCATCGACAATAATTGGAACAAAGTAGAATCAGTTGTTGTGCTTTTTTTCCCTACATTATTATTGATTCCAAACGTCGGAAAATGTGATCGAAACGCGGAACACGATGAAGCGAAAAAAAAAATCAAGCAAAGGAAAAGAAATGGAAGTTTCTCCATTGCATCCATACACCTCATCAATTATTTCTGTTCGATTTCGATTCGAAAACCACACAAAAATTGCGAATTAATGATAATGGCTATTGTGAGTGCTTCGATGCGCGGTGTGCATATACAAGTTATTGGAAATCGATACCACTGTTCCACTAAATACATTGTTTTATAGTCTCATACTTCGAACGCGATGCGCGCGAGCGCGCGCTTGTTCACCTGTTCTCGCCCGTCCGACAAATATAGCAATTGCGAACAAAGAAAGTTGACTCGAGTCATTTCGAGAGACAAAGACACAAAAACACACACATGAAGAGAGAAAAATTAAATGAGTTCAAGAATTTAGCTCAATTAAAATCCGACTTTTTTGCCGTGGCAAACCCGTCTTTCGTTTTGCCAACACTTTTTTGCACACACCGACCGAGCACATATACGGTTGCGTCAAGCACGAGATCACTTTACAGGTGGAAAATTGTATCAAGTTTTTTACTGCTGTGCTACAACAGCACAAACGGCCACAAAACAGGAAATTAAAAGACAATGCTGAAAAACGCATTTATAAATATTTGCATTTATTTGGTACATTCTATATTATTTAAACAACAATTGGAAACTCATTTCAGGCTGAAAATCTGTGTGAGATACCAAGTTACACGTTTCTATTTGCTAACAAATAATTTAATATTAGGCTTTGCGTGCCAAAGATATTTCTTTCTTTCTGTTCTTAAGCTTATAAATCCGTTCGTCAAAAACTGATGAATTCACATGTTTTGTTTGTTGGTTTTTTCTTCTGCGTGCACCCATCAGTGCATATCACTTTTGCCTTAAATGCTATGAATATCGATCAATAAATGTGAACGATTTGTTTGGTGCATGATTCAACGGGATTGCCATACAAAGTTTCGTTGTGTGTTGGATCGACCGGATTGTTCAGCAATTGGTAACTTTGTGTCCTTATCGAATGACTTATCGGACTTATTGGACAGCATCTTCTTTTCGAAGTTATAGAATTGATCAGCAAATGGTGGATCCTTTTCGGTTGTAACGAATTCATTGAAGGAGATTGGTGCGCCTGACTTATAATAACCTCCACTCAATCCCCCACTTCCATGTGTATCACTGAGTGGTCCAAAGCTGCTATGGTGATTATGACTGCCAAAACCACCACCAAAGCCGCCGTTTCCAAAGCCAAACGGTCGATTCGGTTGATAATTGACGCCGTTGAATTGACCAATTGATAGCAAATTCCCAAAGCCAAGCACTCCCGTGATGAACATTGCAAATTTCCCCAAAAACACCGCTTTCTTCAGCAGCAATATGATTCCGGCGAAAAGTAACGGTAAAATTGTCATCAGATTGAATTTGATGCCAAGCAAAAATGGAACAACGAATTGCCTCGTTAAAATTCGCGCTACGTTGTTGTCATTGTTTTCATCGTCGACGGGCAACAGAGAAAAACAAAACTCAAATTAATCATATGAAACGGTTTTTAAGAAAGAAAAAAAAAACAAATCAAATGTTCAAGGAAAAAATTGCAAAAATTCAGATTTCGATTACGTGACTTGCAATAACAGTTCGGCGGCACCTTTTGAGTGCTGAAAACGAAAGTTACCTGTTGATGGTTCGTCAACTGAATATCTATCGCCGCGATCTTGATTCGGATCCATCACGAATTCCAATACACTGTTCGCATCAGATGTGGGACCGACACGTAAACACAAACCCGGCTCAACTATGCCCAGATCCCATTGTAACGATCGTTGCCCAATCATTGTTCCAGCATTTTCTAATATTCCCCTGATACAAAGAACCGATAACATTTTGAATTAGTAAACAAAAACAAAAACAACCAATCAAGAGTGAAAATGGAATTTTACCTGAAATCAGTTGGATCTTCAACGAAGAACTCCGTTAAACTTCTCTGTCGGCTATCATCCGGTCGTAGCACTTCCAAGCCACTGACAATAGTAAAGTTATCCATTTTGTCAAGACTGTGTAATGATGATATTGTTTGCTGGCCAATACATTTGATTACATTTGGTTTTGGCGATTTTATACACTGATGAAAAACTTCACTGCTGGCTTTGATCAACATTAACTTTGAAAACCACACAAACAACACAACCAGTGATATTGGAACCATTTTCACTGTTTTTTATTCTCTTTTTCAAAGATATATTTCTTTCTCAATGTTGCAACGGCATTTAATATAAAATTTCTGATTGCACTCTTGGAATTCTGATCCTTCTTCGACACTTTGTCACTTTGGCAACTAAATTTTTTCCACCACTTTAGATTTTCTCCACAAAAATCGATTCAAATGCTATTCAAATCACCAAACAATATGTTTTCGATCCAAAAATCATCAGACTTTTTCAACGAAACATCACAAACTGACTAAAAAATGATCCAAACCCCGTCCAGACTAGAGGAGATCGTTTCAAAACGTCCAAAATCCGCAGTTTTCGCTTCGGTAATATAGTTTCCAACTTTGTGAGAGAAAGAGCTCCCCATAAAATTTGATGGTTTCATCGAAATTTATCCAACGAATGGAAGTTGGCATCAGTTTGCATAGGTTAATATATGTAAGGTTCGTTCTGTTTGAGCGATCACACATTATTATTTGAGCCCAAACAACAACAGAAAAAACAACAAACAGGCAAGACGACGAAAAATTAACGGCGAAAAAAAAATATATGACGTCGGTAACGTTCAATGCTTCCGAAAAAAAGACTGAAGAAAGCCATGTGAAGAGCATATGTCTCGCGTCTATTCATTCATTGTTCTGTGTGCCTGCAATGCTGATCGTTGCTCTTTTTTCTTCACTTTTAATGGCCTTTTTCACATCTCATTATTGTTATTATTTGTGCCGTTTTTGCCTTCGGTTGAAATCAAAAGTTTACACAATAGAGAAAAACGACAGCACCTTATTGAATTTATATCATGTCCGGTGCCAAGCTATAATGCTGTTTTTTTTTTGTATGTGCGATTGCGTACTGCATAGTCTTGATGTGGAGCCATTACTGTGCTCAGCATTGCGTGGCCATCATCCCAGTCAAAATGTGATAGAATATACTGAAATGAAAGTGACTTCGAATTGTTTCACTGCACCGTATACACACGAGGCACACATCGTACATTTCTTTTTTCGCGCGGACGCGCGCACGTCAACGCAGAGACACACAAAAAACCATCTCGATTGTACGCGGAACGCATCCGATCGGAACAATCAAGCTTTTTCTCAACGGAAGGCTACAGCATCGTCGGGGCAAATATGAATTATATGCATATATGAAACAATCTGTCCAATAATGAATCTGTTTAACGGCCCCTCGATTTCCATGATGTAACAACGCTTTTTTTGCAAATAAATTGTCCAATTATTTGCCGATAAAATTTTCGCAATTGTTTAAAAAAAAGAAAGTCGCCCATCTTTCTTTCGTTTGATGAATTGACAATGGGAATTATCGTTTTGCATTTTTTTCGAATCTTTTTCACGTTTCAATAATCCGACAATTGGACGTAGTTCTTTCACGTAATCAACTTCCGGATTAGGTAACAACGGATTTGGAATACAAAATAATTGCGCATTTCATTTGCCCAATCGACATGTAATAATTCTGATGTGAGAAATAATTGACAAACAAAATGTAAAAGTGTGACAAATGTTGTAATTTATCCCCTTCTTGGGATGTGGGTGTGCACTATGCATGAATTATTCAAATTTTCATCTAAAGAGATTTGAGCAGATCGACTTTGAATAATGCAATAAAACTTTTTTCAATGAAGTATAAACTCCTTTGAAGTTGAATCTACGCTGGATACCATGAATACTAGGGGTTTCACGCAAACTCGAAGGCCGAAGATTTTACTAAATAGCTGGAAATAAAACCATTTTATGTGTAAACTATAGATATTGCTTCTTTTTGTTCATAAACTCGATTTTTTTAGAATTTTTTGAATCTAAAAATTCTGGAAGTGGATTTTGGTGGATCCTCAGGATTGTTCAAAACCGCTCCTGGTTCTGGAAGTGGATCCTCAGGATGGACCAGGGCATTGTCAAACTCAGTCTGATCCATCCTGAAGATCCACCAAAACCCACTTCCAGAACCGGGAGCAGTTTTGAACGATCCTGGGGATCCACCAAAACTCACTTCCAGAACATAATTTTCAAGGTGAATGTTGAAATATTTCGAAATAATACGGATTTTGGTGAATCCCAGGGAATTTTAGAGAAAAGAGAGAAATATTGAAATTTTAGATGAATTTTAAGTTGCGTGAAACCCCTAGCATGAATAATTGAATGTACTCCCCAGAATTTGTGGGAAATGCAGATTTAAAACCTGAATTTAGATGTTTTAGTGTCTTTAGACACTAGTAAGAAAAGATTGCAGACCAAATATTCATCGGAGTGAAAATACTCCACTCAAATGGTCAAACATAGATATCCAAGTTCATGTTCGATTTTCTACAAAGCTTTCACTTCTATATCAATCTTCTTGATCGTCTTGTGACGAAATTCTTCCTTGCGGAACAGGTTTTCCCTTTCTTTTCATATAAATGACATATTTCCTATTCGATGCAAATGCCAATACAGCGGCGAGCGAAGAAAAAAACGTTGTAATAAAATATTTAAATTGTTGTAATCCGATGGTTGTGATAGTGTTGCATTAGAAAAAAATTTCTTTATTGAAATGTTTCATGCTTTCTTATTTCGTATCCTGTTGTGAAGTTTCTCCATATCGTTAATTTGTGCAGTGGAAATAGTGTTTCTCTCTCTCTCTCTCTTGCTCTGGCTCCGTACAATGTTCGGAAATTCACTTTCATTCGCATCATAGTGGATAGCGTGTTGCGCTTTACTCAGCGCACTTTAACAAAATAAACAAATGATTTTAGAGAAATGGTACGGACTGTAAGCACAGAGCATCGGAATGGTTTTCGCGAATCACGATTACAAAAAAAAATAACCATAAATACGTTTTTTATGAAAATATAAACACAGAAATGCCAAAGTGGCTGGTATTTCGAGAAAGAGAGAGAGAGAAAGAAATTGAAACGTGAACAGAGAGCAATCAGCTTGTATTGTTGTTTAAGCCTAAGTAAGTCATAATGATAAAAAATATTTTTGCAGTTTTAATTGAAAATGAAATGGAAACAACGATGCTCCATTATGAATCAATCATATTGCACGGGATGGGAGTGGGAAAATGCAGCCGTGCCACCGCACATTTGTTCCGAACAAAATGCGATACACACAATTAAATCCATGCTGTTGCTGCTGCTGCTGCTGCTGCTACGTTCCAAGTGTAAAGAGCGCGTCTGGCTAAATGATTGTGCATGTAAATTGGCGTTTAACTTTTACACCGTTTTTTTTCTTTCTCTGTTTTAACAAACTGGTAGACAAGCGTTTGCCTGATTCGAACTCAAGCACATGCGCTCATCTCTACAACACATTGGCTTCTCCATCACTTTTTTTTTGTTTGTTCGCAACAATTAATTAAAAACCAACTCATTCATGTTATTCTAATTAAAGCTGTATGAGTATGGATCCATATGAGTCGATACCAACGGTGAAAGTGGTTTTTGGAAAATAAATCAATGCAAACTCATCTTTGAAAAATAAATCAATGCAAACAATACGCAGAAATTGGCGAAAGAGAAAAAAACACTTGAGTCTAAAAGCAATGGCCAAAGATCCACAAGAAAAAGCATACATGTACCTTACCGTCCATGCGCCAAATCGAGAAGTCGAGGAACCGAGCACACAAAATTGGAAATTTTGGTGCCCATTGTGAGATTATGGCTTCACGATCAATGAATTCAACTTTGGATATTTTGAACATGTGTTTCGAACGGAAAACTCGAAATATTTTCAAGTTCCTAATCGCAAACCGCTGTTGAGTTCATCTCTTTTTGTGTGGTCTATGAATGCTCACTGCCGAGTACATGTACCGCTAGATGTACCTTGTACACACGTCGTGACCTTCTTGAAACATCGTTTGCATTTTCGATTGTTTACTTTTAAACACAAATATTCGATAAAATATTCCAATGACTTGGGTCTTTATTTTGGTTTACGATGACGCGGCGGTCGTCGAAAGTTCTCGAAAGTAAAAGTAAATTCTCCGAATTCGATTTCCGTGTGCTTGTGTTGGCCTTTTGCGCGCATAGCAAGAATGAATAAGATGAATTGCCGATACATTTTATTCGATTGTCTTAATAAAGTGTGACTCGTTTGGACATATCTTCGATCTGTTCTGTAAAACAACGAGATCATAAATCTCTTGTAGGCCTCTGAAATACGTTGACTTCGGACCAAAGTGTGACCTCAGAATCAACAAGCCATACCAAAATGCCAGTGAAAGTAATTACGTGGTTTCAATTACACGTCTTTTTCTGTATTTATAATCGGTTTAGCTTCGCTAGTCGAAAAAAATCGTATTTTTTATACACAATTCGGTTTGGTTCCGGTCTGGGCGCAAAACAATTTACTGCTGTCATTCACTGTATATTATTAATTAATAAGGTGTTTCGCGGCTTGTCGAGTTTGATCTTGATCAAATTCTCCCTACGACCGAAACCGTTAGCTCAAACTGAAAAGCCGTGATCGAACGTGTGTTTTTTTTTATTTTTGTCTATTAAATTTTCGCGTTCGCTTTGACTGATTCATTTTCACGATTTCTTGATTGATAAGTGAAGTGAAAGGAAACGGAATGATAATTAATCAAAAATATAGAGGTTTTCTCTGAACGTAAGTAATTTATCACGTTTTGTTTATTCATCATTGCGTCGGTCGACAAAAGAAGAGATTAAACAAATAAAATCAAAAGTAATCGGTTTTTTCTATTCTACATGAATCGTGTGTGAGTGTTTTCCATCGCTTCTTTTCATCATCGATTGCGCCATTATCCGACTTGATTGCGAGTAATTTGTTGAATATGTGCCGGTTAATTTTTTTTCTCTACTCTGAAAAAAAAGCCGGGCAAATGATGACGCCGAGTGGAAAATCATTGGCATCGCCTGCGGTCACTTGATTCATACAAACTGATGATAATAAATTAGTTTCAATCGATTTTAATTAACACCACAAAAAAAAACTATCGAAATGCACGTAAAATGGCAGAAATTTTCGGAAATTCGGTCATTCAAAGCAATAAAATGGGCGAATAGAAAAAAGTATTTGTTGGCGATGGGAAGTTCATCGCTCACAAGGAATGAATCAGCCGAGAAAAAAAAGCAAGCAGAATTTGCTCTTGTAATAGCGCAAATGGAGGTGAAAGTGATTTTTTTTTTCATCTTCATTCTTCATCTTTTCTTTTCATTGTCAATGCAAACAATGGGCGTTGTGTTCATTCATTGATTGGATTATTGGTTTTTCCATGAGTCAGAATATTCGCTTGATGCTAAAGTAGAACGTGAAATTAGGCTTTAGCAAACTTTTTTTCTCGCTGTGATTTCGTATTCAAATCGTAAAACTGAAACAAAACAAATTTAGTTTTTTCCTTCGCGATGAAAAGAATTTTTTAATTAATAAAATTGGATTTAATTCTCGCGAATGGCAAAATTGCACTTTAATTAATGACAGCAGCAACATTTGCATGCGCACGAAACGAAAGAAGAAGCCATCAGTAATTTTTCATTCATGTCTGTGGGATTCCAGTTTGTGTTTTATTCTTTTCATATCCAGGTTATATTTTTGTCTTATCGTTTCTCTGTTCGTTTGTGTTCGATTCGACACTGTGGAGCAGCAGCGTCTTTGACCTAGAATGCAACGCAAACAGATCAGAGCGGCAACAATATCCCGTTATCCGTGTATGACAAAACACGCAATATGTGTCTTTTTATCACATAAACGCTCGTTGTATATAAATTATAAACGATTTGGCCGCACGCAACACCAATAAAACTGCAAATGAAGTGAACCAGAGCCAAATGCATTCCCAATAAAAATGATATAATATAAATTGTGCGGGATTTGGATTGCAGAGATATTGCATACTATATTGCATGGTTTTGATGCTGGATCAATATCAACGGGATGGTTTTCTAATCATGTAGCCAAACTTACCGTTCTGGTTTAGTGAATATAAACGAAATGTGTCAAACGATTTAAATGAAAATCCATGGAAGATCGCGTTATTACGGTGAATATGTACACACACATCGATCGTGGTGCGCCAACCAAATGGACCAAAGAAATACAATGACCAAACGTGTCACAAGAAATGTGTAAGAATTCGTGTCATACGATGTTGCTTCGATCTACTTTATCCACTGATTTGATTCGGCTTCGACATGAAACCCGATGAAAATCACTCGAAGCAATCTCATTTCTATTGAATATTCAATTACTGTACCTCGAGTTGGACGCCAACAGCAGAAGTTTCGTTGGCATCGTTTGTATTAACAATAATTCAATTGAAGTTTGTAAATTTAGAATTGAAATATCGCGATTTGATTGAGGATTTACCGAGGGAATTTACGAAGCATTTTTTAAGCCTGAAAAAAAACTCTCTCAATTTGATACTTACATTCAATTAAAAAGTTTCCTCTGAAATAAAATATAACTGAAATTGACTTGTCCACTTTCAATTTTCGAATAGCCACTTTAAAATGGGTATGAAATAAAAACAAAAATAGATATTATTTAATGAATTTGGCAGTCTATTTTTTGGTTTACTTATGAACATTTAACAAACAGTTTTCTCGTAAAATCAAACATAATTTTCCTCTTTTGCAGAACCGAAACGATATTTTTTCCAATTGATCATTGCTACGAAAAAAATAAAATTAAAGTTGGACAGAACAAAAGCAAATAAGCAGAACGTAGGAAATTGGTAGAAAATTTTCTGTAGTTGTTGTTGGTGGTGGTTTTTTTTCTCGAATTTGTGCCATTATTTTGTTAATCTGTTGAGTTGCCATATACTGTCGATTCGATACTGTACTCATTATTTTAAAATAAATTACTTAAAACTTATTGCCGATTGTGGTTTTTCTTTATATTGATATTTCAGTTATTGGTTTATCACTAAAAAGTAAAATTGGCATAAAAATTAAAAAAAAAAAACTTTTGTCCAAAGAGTTTTCCGTTAAAGAGAAAAAAACCATTCACAATACTTCTATGGAGGCGATTTGATATTATATATTCGAAATGTGGGACACATGAAAAAAGCGGTTTTCCGGAATACCGTACAAATTGTTTTGTGTGGAGTTTTGTTTTTACAATAAATTATTCAATAAATAATAATAAAAATAAGTTAATAAATTAAATAAATAAATGTTAAAATGAATGAAATTGAATGAAAGTTAAATTTGAGTGCATCGAGCGAAAAGCCGAAACGTCATTTCTCGATTGTAAATTACACAAGTCTATTTTATGGCATCGAATTATCGATTTTCGATGTGCTGTCAATTACGTTTTTTTTTTTGTCTGCAAATTTTTGTATGTTTGTTTTTTTTTTCTCGTAAAAACTGTCCAAGTATATTAACGACCGAATAGCGTCTGTAACTAGAATAATGTGAATGCCTTTTTTGTTGTCGTTCATTTCAAATTGAGATTTTTTTATGCACATAGAAGAAACGATTTTTATGCACGCGATTGATTTCGAATCGTGTGTGTCATTTAAAATATATGAGTTAAGAGTTGTTGTGAAGCGCGCGGCCAACCGGTATTTATTTTTTTCATCTAAAAGAGGTGATTTGTTCTCTTATCTGAGGGAAAAACCCGTTGGCTTCTACACCTATTTTTCTACACGATTTTGTTTGTTTGTCTCTCTATCCCATTGGAAATGGGTAGAAAAATGTTAAATAGTTTTTGTGTGTGTTTGTGAATGTTTGAGTGTATATGTTGTGTATGTGTGTCTGTCTGTTGGATTCTGTTGTTTGTGTTGTTCATGGTGTGTTGGTGTTGTGTATGTTTGTATGTGTGACAGAGTTTTCTTTTGTATCGATGCCTGAAAAAATGTTTGTATGTTTCTCTGTTTGTGTAAATCCTCGTAATGTAAATAAGTTGGATCGCTAAAAGTATTTTTTTTTTGTTGTTTGATTTCGTTGTCGTTGTTGTTTCATTTAAATAAATTAAGTGTTTGCTTGGTGTGAATGGGTGATTTGTTCTAATTACGATCGATAAACTGCTTTGTCAATTTGCTGAAAATTGTTAATTTGTTTTTTTTGTCGTTTTTTCTCTCTCTCTCATTAAAAAAAAGAAAGAAGGAAATGTTGTTTGTTGTGTTCCTCGTTGTGTCCTCCTTATTGTTGGTGAGCTGAGTAAGCCATATTGTGTGCATCGTTCATAGCACGTCCATAGTGACCGTGTTCATCGAACGAGGTGTGTGGATGAGCGACGACTTCGTAGTTTTGTGAAGCGTGCTTCGATTCGAACAGCTTCTTCAATCCAATGATACCACTCAACAACAGAGCCAATTTACCAATGACCAAAGCCTTGAATGCAATCAATGCCAAGAAACCTAGAACCAATGGCAGAAGGGCGGCAGCCTTCAATTTGAACAACAACAACAATGGCAACAAAAGTTTCTTTGTCTTCTTTCCTTTACCACGAGCTGCAAATCCGTCCATCCGTCCAAGATTAGGCGCACGCGTGAGAAAGAGAAACAAACAGGAACATAGAGAAAGAGAGGAGAAAAAGACAGAGAGAAAAATGAAGCCGTTAAAAAATTACGTTCAGATTAGAATTCGCATCCAACACAATCTTTCGTTGATTATTTGTGGAAAGTATTTAAATGGATATCGGTCACATACACACAATACTCGCATCGCACTTTTATCGCAACGAAACGACCAATGCGAAATGGGTGAAACACACACACACAAATGGCGGAAAGAAGTAGAAGAAGAAGGCAAGAAATAACTTGAAATAAAATGAGATTAATGACAAAACATGCATTCGAATCTAAAATAGGCCATCGAGTGCATGCGAGCCACATACATACTCTTGACCCACAAAATAAGTAAACAAAATAAATATTTTCTTCTTGTGGTGTTGTTCTGTTTCATACGTTCTTCCGCATGTATCGCAATTTCTTTGAGTCGTTCTTATTTTTTCATTCCTTCTTCATTCTTGTTTATCGATGTTGCTACGGTTCTGGTTACGTGAGACACCGTAATTGTATAGTTACGGCCGCACGCATCGCTCTTTTTTTCAGCCAATGTATGGGCGACTCGATTTCTGTGCTTCTTTTTTTGTTCTTCCATTATTTCTTGTGCATATCGAGTAATGAAATGGTGCACAAACAACGCATTTTCTTCAATTGATATTGTTTATTTCTTTCCTTCATTTTTTCATGTGAAAAACACAAATATTGACTTATTTTCTTTCAACGGTTCGATGAGCTTTAAGTTGAGTGAAGAAAACTGGAATTGTATACACGGCGATCGATTAGTGTCAAATGCACAATCCAAAGAAGAATATCCATTCAAGAATGTAAAAAAAAATTATAGAGATGTGTGAATGTGTGATAAACCATTACTTCATTTAAATAGCTGTTATTGTGGAGTAGCATCAACTGAACCAGTCGGTTATATAACGGTAAAGTCACATTGACCGCATTTCAAGATTTCGCACCACGACACTCTTTCAGTGTTGATGACGATGTGACCAATTTGTCTTATGTATGGTTTATCTTAAAACTTGTCACTGTTCTCAGGAAATGATTCCGATTTCGCTCAAATTTCCAAATGGAAAGAAGAAAAGAAATTCAATTATCTATGGTTATGAATGGATTGCAATAGGAAACGCTTAGCACTACATGAAACAATGATTTACCAGACGATTTTAACACCAAAACGTGCTAATACGATTTAAAAATCTTTGACATTTTCTATTGTCTTTGCCGTGTCTCGTGTCTCGTGACTGTTTGATTAGCATATTTTGACGTGTGTTGTCTGTCTATCATTTGGCTCAATGCCGTTAGAAGTTATTTTCATTTTGTAATATTTGCGGCGCGCTTTAATGGCGCTACTTTTACTTTTTGATGATCAAAAATGCGGAATGCTGTTTATTAATTCGAGTGATGCGAAGAAATTGAAAGGAGAGGAAGAAAAACGAACACGAGATTTCCAACGTTTTCGAATTAAAAATTCAAGAAAGTCTTTTTCTTCGTCTGGTTACAGCTTGAATTGCGATTATGAGAACGTTCCGTGTGTGTGTGTGTGTGTGTGTGTGTGTGATGTAACCGAGAATCAGAAGTGGCAAAATCAAATAAAAACGCGTGAAAAAAATTACCTTCGTCGAGTGATCGTTGCATATCTTCGATTGAGTCTTTCGGTACTTTGAATTGGAGAGTGTGTGTGCCCAAGAAGCGAGCAATACGATCGGCCAACAATGAGTCAACTTGTCCTTCCCGAGCTTCACCATTTTCCGACAGTTCGATGTCATTCAATGAGCGTCCTCCCTGTGGCAATGATTCCGTTTGGATGAGTGCGATGCCTTCGCCGACTTTCACGTCACCGTTGATGTTGTCCACATAGTGCAGGGCGCGTTCCTATAAAAATAACAGTTTTACATATAATTTTTGTTTTATTCTATTCATCGCAATACATATCAACTAATACATATTCATCGATGTGATTTCTTTTTGTGTACTACAACAAATGACCTAAATGGACTTCAATCGTTTCATCAATATTCTATACGCGCCGAAGATTTTCGCAAAGAAATTGAGAAAGTACAAAAAGTACAATGCAAAGTGTTTCTCTTTTTTGATTTCGATGAAAAAAGAAACTATTAGGATGAGTTCGCTTTCGATTGAATTGTTTTCTATTCCCCAACCAAAAAATAGCGAATTCGCTAAATTCGAATATTCGTTGTCATATCGCGAATAATATTTATCGGTTGGTCACGACGAAGCACAAACATCACTTGCATGTAGATCTCTTGCATCTAATACATTGAATGGCTGTAGCTTTATGGTTGCTGTATTTGAATGTGAAATTTACTTACTTTAGCACAAAGTAACATTGATTTATCTCCACAATCGCGAACGAATTTAAGCGCAGTTGATAGCAAATTATCGGTTTCAGTGTTTAACGATGCGGTGGCAATCGTTATAATTGAGAACAAAACACAAATTTTCTTCATTTTGGTTGTTTGTTGCTAAAAAGTTGTAACTCTTTGCCAAAGTTGGGAAATTTATTTCTGCACGTTATTTCTTCTCGCGAACAGAAGACACACTGGTTGTTTAAAACACAAAGTGAACAATTAGAAGAAAAAAAAAACAAAGACTTTTTTTTCAATTAAATTTTTTTTTTCGGTCGGTGCTGATTATTTTTCTTCTTTTTTTGCTCTTAACTGAACAATGCAAGCACAAACGGCACTCTGGTGAATTGTGTAGATTGAAAGGAGCTGTATAGCGCGCTGGGTTGTTAGTACTCAGAAAGCAACCGGTGAACTGTGACTAGAAAACACTGATGTCCGCGTTTTATTCACTCTCTGTTGATGTGTGTATGGGATATATGTATGTGGCGACGACGGCTCGGATAAAAACGACGACAACAACAGCAAACAGCAGAAGCAGCAGTAGCACCACCGCCGAAGAAAGAGTCCAACACTGAAGCAACAACTACGCCGCCGATGATGATGTTATAGAATTTAGATTAAATGCCCGATTTGATGAGGCAGAAGCACACGGTGTGTACGGTTGTTGCTCAACGAACACACACCGTGAAGTGAGAGAGATAGACTGAGCGAAAGCGAAAGAAAGAACGAAAAAAAATCATAAACGACCAAAAAGAAAATCCACAAAACAACGAACAAATATCACAAAATAATAAGCACACATAAGCGAATTGTACTCATGTGTGCCGATGCCGCCGCGCTCGCGCGCACGCCTAGCTCTCAACAAGAGTGTGAATGTGTAATGTTCGCGCGTACACATGAATTGCGATATAAACGATATAAAAAAAAGAAGACAACTAAACCATAGTCAAAGCCATATACACATATATGAACAGCGGATACTGAAGTAGGTACGGCTTTTTCTCTCTCTATGTCTATCTGTGTGTCTGTGTTGTGCTGTTTGGGCAAAGCATGGGTAGAAGAAGAAAATGTAGCAGAGGTAAATGCAGAAAAGTCAAATAGTAGCAGAAGCACCGCTGGTTGGATCGAATATCATAGTTATCGTGTTTACAAAATGCATCTACTCCGGCCTGTAGAGGAACGGCAGCAAAGTTCAATGCTTGCTATCGTAGGCCTACGATTTCTCAACACACACACACACACAATCACAATGATAAGGAGAGACACAACGAACGCTTTCTCGCCGTTGTACTTCAAATCGTTTCCATATCGAGAGAATGAAAAAACGAATCGATATCAATGCACCTTTTCTGTTGGTGCAAAATATATAGACGTATGTTGCGCTTTTTTCTTTCTTTTTCAATCAAGATGCACACATAAAAACTGTTCATTGGACCATCGAAGAAAAAAAGCAAAACAGCAACAACATCATCAGCAATATTGTACTCCCCAGTTAATTGATATGTTCCAGACACCGATCATGGCTCTATGTAAGGGCGATCGATTATTATTACATTACATAGACGTGTATGACCGAAGCTCACGCTTAGAAAATTATCGATTTATTGTAGCTGCTGTTGCTGCGTTTTTCTTTTTCTCCTCCGCAGATTCACTCCGGCCATGGTGCATGGTTTCATTCATCACTTTATTAAATGCTTTCTTTATCGAAATCGATATAAAACCGATTGAAACGAAATCATTAAATGAAACTTTTGACGTATGTATATGTGTGTGTAAGAGTGAATAAGGTGTTGATGATCGATGAGCGTGGCAAATGAATTTCTAAAATCAATGAAAAAAATCAAATGACTGTAATGGAAATCAAATATTTGTTCATGGATTTTATGCACTAATCTGCACCGCCCGTCGAAAAGCGTTTCGCCGCATCTACACAATACAACACACATGCACAGCGTTGAATTGTTTCGTTGTATTAAGGCCAAGCGTGCGCTGTTTTACGGTGCAACAGTGGAAACGGTAAGTTGGACTGCAAGCCAACTGAATCTACACATTCAATCATCTTCCTTCAACGAAAAGCAAGATAACCAGCTGAGTTGAATACATCGTACGCGCGTGCGACAGACAGTAGGACGCGAGACAATTTTATCAACACACTGTCATTCCCGATAATCTGCTACATTGTTGCAAAAATGTAGAAAAAGTTCTTCATTTTACAACTCTTTCTTTTTTTTAAATTAAAACTAATGATGTGCTTCGTAAAGTCAGGTTTGTAACGGTACAAGTGCATCTTGTTAGAATGACAGGAACCTATTTATCTTGTCTTCGAAATTTAGACCGAATGTCAAAACAAATGAACACGCCAATTCACACATAACATATTGACACATACACACATTTCCTGCTGTCATCACCATCAAGACAAATCGGCTACGGTCAAGTGTCTAAGTCAGCATATTTAATGGAATCACATTAATCCGACTGAGTACGGTCGGATCTGGTTTAAAAATTATGTCTTTTTATTTTAATATTTTCCGTTTTATCTTCGATCGTGTACATGCCATTTAAATGAGTGTCTGGCCGGCCAATGCAAAAATAAAGAAATAAGTCCGGAAAAGGAGGACAATAATTCCGAAAAGAGCAAGTGAATAAAATGTAAGTAAAAGTATGAAGCCAGAGATTACTATGGCATATTTTTATTCATATGGGATAGAAATATCACATAAAAATAACAGATATTTTTCGTGCGTTGTGTTTAGCGAAACGCATTAATACACAATAGCGATTCTGCATACACAGAGTCGCTGTTTTTTTCGTTATACTCTTCACACTTACGATGAGCTGCGCGAAGCGTGCATGCACATGTTTCGCTCACTTCTTTCTTTGAACACTCTTCGTGCGTCAACACAATGTCTGTGTGTTTATCGCTTGTGCCGTCGTTTGTAAACGACGTCAATGAGCTGCGCAATGCATGCATATATATGTTTTGCTCTTTTCTTTCGATCGACACTCTTCGTACCCAGCGTATTGACGTCGTTTACAAATGAAGGCACAAGTGATACACACACAGGCATTGTGTTGACACACGAAGAGTGTTCAAAGAAAGAAGTGAACAAAACATGTGCATGCACGCTCATCGTAAGTGTGAAGAGTATAACGAAAAAACAGCGACTCTGTGCATGCAGAATCGCTATTGTGTATTATTGCGTTTCGCTGAACACAACGCGTGAAAAATATCTGTTATTTTTATGCGATATTTTTATCCCATATGAATAAAAATATCCCATAGTAATCTCTGTATGAAGCATTTGATTTATTTTTCTCCTCTCTGTAACACGAAAAAACCGAAGAAGAAGAAAATAATGATGATTATGGCGCAATTGTAGCGGCGATAAAAACAATTGCCCGACATAAGTACAACTAAAACGATCGCCATTTTACGGAAAACCCTTCGAATTTATCAAAACATTTCGATTTCGTATGCGTCATGCAGTTTCCATCCGTCGAAAAAGAAGAACGATTGAAAAAAAACACACAGAGTACGAAAGGAAACATTAAATGCCGGAGAATCGAAGAAGCCATCGCACATGAAGTCGTAGCAAAAAAAAAAAATAACATCTAAGAGAAAATTACGTGTTATTAGTAGTCATTTTGCGTGTATTCATTAGCTTTCTATCGATACACTCATTTGTAAATGGGCGGTTTTCTATCGTCCACGGATCATTCATTGAACTGAACAAATAGCAAAAATCGATAAAGACAGAGGGGGAGACAAACAACAACATGCATTTTCTTCTGAAGAGCCAATTTAATGTTTTTGGTAGACCTCAATTTCTCGCTTTTAAAAATTTCGATAATAAATGGAAAAAGAAAAAAAAAAACAACACACGAAACAATCGGTAGAAAAATATTTCTTCGAATAGCGTTAATAAAGAAAATAGTTAGCTTAATCTTTGCTAACAAATCTCAATTACAACGTTTTCCAAGTAGAAAAAAAATTATGTCATTAAGCTATATGGAGTCTTTGTACCGTGTGTACGAGAGTAAAATGAGCGCCATTCATTGGGAACATAAAACGTCATCGCGCCCTACAGCTCCATTTACACATAAATGTGACTTTGGCTCAATGGCATGGTCATGGTCGATTCATAATATGACTCCGCCGCACCACTGTTTACCGAATGCATACACACGTTTTCTATACTTTTCCTCCGGCAAAATGATTGTTGCTCCCCATCAAAATGTTAAAACTTCATTTAATTGTTTTGCTCCCAAAAACTGTTCAACATTTGACTTTCTTCAATGGATAATGTTTTCTTTTTCAACTAAATTTTCACTTACAGAACCCGTTCGTTATTAGATTAGCCAAAAGGGAATTCGCAAAATGTCAAAAAATACATCAGTGATTTCTTTTTCAAACACAAATCCGTAATGAATACAAATATGTGTTCATGTGTCATCGGTTCGACGCGGTGTTCCCTAGCTCTCACTAGTCGTGCGCGCGCGTTTTTGACAACGAACAAAAGATCAAAATTAATACATTAAATGAAATTTTTGGTGATGTTTTGTTTGACATGCCGATGGCATCGGTCACTCTAATGGCATCACCAATCAAGTCTCGCTGAAATAGTGAGTGCGCGCATGTAAACAATGTATTAAACGCGTCATTGTTAGTCTGGTCAATTGTGACAAACCCATCAATGAAAAGACCGACAATGAAAAGAAGAAGAAAAAAAAAACGCTGAAAAAATGTATTTTAGAAATTTGGTCGGTGTGATGATTTACGACTAGAAATGTACATGTTTTAGATTCGCCTTGTGACTTTTTCATCGTTCAAAATGTGTAAGTGCTGTACACCACGGCATTCCATTGACAAAAAGTAAAACACCCAACTATTTTCAGCGAAAAAATGACCGCAACAGTAAAAGTTAGACGAGAAAACACCCAACAGGTTATTGTTTGATCGTTTTTTTTTCTCTCCTATTTTTCGTTCTTTTTTTGTTTGTACTCTGGCGTACTCATTTTTTGTCCCGAAAAAACTCACTTTTTTCTGTTTGAAAGCAGAAGATTCAGTTCGAATTCGGCGAAGATGAATCACACTGAGATTTTTTTTCGTTTCGTCGCTGAAATTCGAATGTATCGCGTTTGAACGCAGCGAAATGTAGTTGAAGCTTTGTTAGAAAAGCTTTGAAAAGTGACAAAGCTCGCGACGCACAACTTACACGAATAACGGAAACTTTGAGCATCGCGATTCATAAGGTCGTGATAGATCGATGAAAATCATGAAAATTTCTCAAAAAGCAATTTAAAATTTCGACAATATTAAATTAACATTCGAAACACGAATTTTCGTTACGACTTTGTAAAATTTCTCTATTTTCATTTCGAACGTAGGCCGTGTAAGTTTAAGCTTGACTCATGTGTTATGTTTGAAAAGGTCGGTGCTCTCGTTTCATTCGCACCATCAAATCTAGCTAACAAATGACTAAGGAAAGTAAAACGATCCGTCAAAATGATTGAACTTATTTGGTTGTGGTGGTTGTTGAGTGACCCAACGCGTGCATTTGCATTAATTGGAACTAAATCGTGATTTTTCCCTTTGCTTCTCGAGACTTTTACCGGTACGGTCTCGCGCTCTCTCACACACAAATTATCATTGCTATTAATCGGTGGGTATTCAAAAATTTCACTTATTTTGCGTTGCATGCTTACGCCGCTGAAGCTTGTAATCGTTTCCATATATTTCTCAATCGAAATTGAGCAAAATGAATGGTTTATTGGCTTTTCACACACGATTTACGTTTTCGCCCACAGTGATTACGTGCTTGTCATTGAGTTGTACATGTTACAGAGAAATACCGAAATTTATCCGGTTTGTTATTGCTCACGCTGAATGGTTGCGAATGAAGATAAGCGTAATTACACACATACGAAACAAAAAAGCGGCAACATTTTGTTTTCTTCTATATTTTTTTTTGTCTTTTAAAACGATGATGAGACCTCAGTGTGCTTGTGCGCGCAGATGTTTTCGATTTTCATTTCATGTCTTCAATTAAAACGCTCTTTGCGCACGTTTTTCTTCCCTTCTTTAGTGTGTGATTTTCTCAGTGAGATCGGTGCTCTCTCGGTGCGCGGATTAATTCCGCTTTTGTCCACAAAAAGAGAAAAAGCGACGACAGCAGCAACAACAACAACCACCATGACGACGGCGGCGCAACGAACGACTATATTTTTCATTCGCCAAGTGAAATTATTTTCTTTTCGCATGGCTCAATTTGCCGATCCGACGAATAAATCAATACCATTCTCACCTTTTTCTTTTTATTTAATTACTTTTTATGGCTTTTTTCTGTCCACTTTGAAGAGTGCGCGCACGCGAATGCCTACTTCAGCTGCATCGACACACTGAACGAAAGAGAGACGCGCTCTGAAACGAGTGCCAATGTCGTTTCCAGAACATAAAACAAGAGAATGCAATATTATCGAAACGAAACGTTCGTTCACCATAAACGCTAATTTTCGCATATATATGTATGTATGTGAACTTAAAACGTCGGCATAATTAAATGCTCTGCATGCGGTGTAGCTGCATTCCAGAATACCAAAAAGAGTTGTTGTTTCGGTTCGATTGTGAAAATAAGAAAACCACCAAAAGCCATGCAGCATGACCATGACAGCGGCAGCAGCAGCGGCAACAGAGTGGAACATAGGTAAACAAAGGCAACAGCGGCATTGCATCCAATTCAAGTCCAAGTGCAAATTGACGATCGATGGATCACGTTACATACACTATTTCATGTATGTTCACTACGTGCGACCGAATGTCATGTAAACAAGACTGAATTATTGGAAAAGAAAATTCGTTGCAAAGTGAAATTGCAATTAAGCGTGTGTGTGTGTGTGTGTGTTCGTGCACATGGGATAACGACGGGGTCTTTGCAAATTCTCGTGGTGTTCGAGTTATCGAGATGTGGCGATCGAGTTGCAAACATTTCAGCCGAACAGAAACAAATCATTTAGCAAGTCGAAGCCACCAACGTTCTGGTCGCCATTAGGCATCAATCACATGGAGAGACACAGAGAAAGGGAGTGCGAGAGAGTGAAAGAGTGAGCGGAAGAGAGGGAAAAAGGTCGTATGCATCCGTGAAATAAAAATACCAAATAACTGTAATCAATATTTTTGCGTGTAGCTGCTGCAGAACGACCGATGATGTGGTTCGCAGAGAAATGGGCTCGAAACCCAACCAAGTCGTCATTAAACATTTCGTTTGGGCTTGTGTATGTGTGATCGAGAAAAGAGAACACGATCGTGGGTGCGTACGGCAGAAAAATTTTCTCTTTTTCCAAAATACTGATTCGGTTAAGAAAAGAGATAAAAAGTGTTCCATAATTTCCTTGCGGCACGGCCACTCAATGTCTCATTCTTAAGAATGTACTTGAATAAATTTAATTTGTTATGAATTCCAATATAAGCGTTAATGCTTGGCTCATTGAATGTGTTTGAGTGATGTGAGAGTGTTTGTGTGCGTTGATTTTGTGGAGCGTGCATGTAAACATTCATATCAAAATCCTATCTTCTTAAACAATTTATTCACAAAATATTTGTTGCTCTAAATAAATAACACGTCAAATACACAAAATAAATAAATTAGTTTTTGTTCATATTGTTGTTTTTTTGTCTTTTGTTTTTTTTTCAATAAATTAAGGCTCTTAAAACGAAATTGGGTAGAAAACGATAATAAATTTTGGTAATTACTTTGAAATGCTTAACTACACAATATCAATTTTCAATGCATTGTCGTCTAATGATGATTTAATAATTCTAATCTCATTGTTTGTTGCTATTTCTTTTTACTATTCCTCATGATATTATTGTTAAATGTATCTAATTGTGATTGCAATTGAATTTGCAGCATATTTTCAGTATATATTTTCCGGTACGTTTGCTTATGTTTTTTTTGTTAGCTTCTGTCCGGCTATGTGGAATATGTGTGTGGAGTGACTTGATATAATTCGATCATTTTTCCAATTCTTGAGCAGAACGAAAAAAACATCTCTTAAAAACAAAACATAAAATACTTGTTTGTCGTTCACTCTTTTTCTCTCATTTGTTTCTACACATTGTTTGAACCAATAAAATGAAAGAAAAAAAAGAAAAAAAATCGAAAACGATTGCATAAAATGAATTTTAACGCAAAAAATTAATCAATTAGTTCAAAGAGAAAAAGAGCAACGAACACTAGCAAAACTCATAAAAAATATGACGAAAATGTGCTACAAATTGTTACAATCAAATGTTGTTTGTCCGTTTTTTTTGTGATGAGGGAGTCAACAATTTCAGCTTTGATTCTGTTTTCTGTTATTATTGTTTTGTTCTGGTATATGTAATGTACTTGTGTTTGAATTGGATAGTTTCGTTGTTTATTTCGTTTCTGTAAATAGTTTAGTTCTTTGGTGCATGAGCATTATAGGCTAGGTCAAAATCACGTCCCCAACCAGAACCGCCTCCGTGTCCAGCAACAACGACTTCGTGCGATGATTCATGGTGGCCACCACTTTGCGATACCAATTTCTTGATTCCGATGATTGATGCCAAGACCAACGCCAATTTCGATACGATCAATGCTTTACCAGCGAGCAGAGCAAGAGCACCATAGGCTAATGGAATGAATGTACCAGCCAACAATAATGGAATCATAATCCAGGCACCCTTCTTCTTACCACCGCTACCACGTCCTTCGATGTCAGTTGGGAATTTGATCTAAACGATGAGAAAAATGAAACGAGAATGCAGAGAAAAAAAAATCGGTCAATTTTGAACTAACGTTTCTTTTCGATTCGGAATGCTGCGAAATCATCATATAAGTAAGTAATTTGTGCAGGTGAGCGAGATAGAGAGAGAAAGAAGAAAAGACATAGAGAGAAAGAGCGACATCGGTTAAGAAGAAGAAGAAAAAAAAACCAGCAAAGTTGAAGTGCCATAATTTTGCCGTGCCGAGGAAGTTGATAACTGCTGTGATTGTGAGAACCGATAAAGAAAGTTGCGAATAATCTGTTTATGGAATATTAAACACGAAACGAGTTTCCTGTGAAATTATGGAATGCCGCTACACGCTTCACATATTCTTTGTACAATTTTGGAATTCCAACAAAAAATTATCGAAATATCTGTCCTGCTATTACGCTTGTTGTTCGATTTTTCGATTGACATCTTGCACACCGAAATCATACAGAAAAAAAAACACCATTCCAACGAGACACTTTTCTTGGCGAATAAGAAAAACGGCACTCAAAATAAAAAAGCAGTTTCCATGTCATTTGTGCGAACAGATTGTGTTGGTGCGTATGTACGAGAGCTGAGAGAGCATGAAAAAGAGCGACACAATGGTAATTTTATGACCATCAACAGTCATTATTTTGTTTATATATTTATTTTCGTTGTTTTGCTTCAGAAAATGTGATTCTTCTGGCCAAGTTTCACTTATGCTCCGAACCCAGTGGCGGCCGATCTTCTTTTTACCATGTTCCGTATTATTATGAGCGCCTATTTTTAAATAAATACTGAGAAATATCCACGTTTCCTTTTTCTCCATGCGCATATTTTTTCTCAATGTTGACATTAATTTTATTTAAATTCATGACAATTGCCGCGAATGCGTGACTGTTCACAGCCCATCTTTTGTGTGTGTCTTCATCGCGTTATTTTAATGTCTCGTTATTTTTTCTTGCGTTGTGATGTGCGCCGGCCTACTTGAGATGCAATGCATTCAACATTGGCATGTCTTATTATGTGGATTTTATTTATTTGCCGTGAACAGGGGACTAATTTGCGAATTGCTGAGAAAATAAAATGCTATTTGCTGTGCATGTGGTCTTTTGCTTATCTTTTTGATTTAATTAACATGAGTTTGCAGAAAATGGTGTGATAATTGATCAATATTGACTTTACGATTACCGCAAGTAATTGGCGCATTACCAACATTTGGCCAGTTAACACTTTCAAGCGCACTGTGTCAGCGAGAGAGAACTTTCCCCCGCAGTTCATCTCTCATTCTGTTGTCTGACCGCAGTGCGTGGTAAATACATTGTAAACACTACAAATCGATGATTGAGATACGAAACGATTTGGTCAGCAGGTGATGGGAATACAGATTTTGTGAAAAAAAAAACACACAGAGAGATGAAAGCTAATCGAAATGACAAGCACAAAAAACAGCCAGAAAAACAACATCATCATTGAGATAGTGACAGAGAAATGAAGAAGAAAGAAAAAAAAACAGCACGCAATGCAGTCAAACGTTTAATTTCATTAATTTACATTCTTTCGGTGGTAAATTTATTTCAATTTTCATTTGTATTTTTTCTCTGCCGATTTAGTTTCACTTTTAATTAAACTCCACGATCCAATCAAATTTGTTTGATTAGGTCAACTGATTATCTGGGTTATAATAAAGTTTTCGTTTTATTTTATTTTTTTTTTCCACAATTTATTCAAATGGATTGTCATGTTTATTTGTGGTTATCATTCCTGCACCGGTGCCATTTTGTTAAGTATACTTGAGTTTACTGTGATCAAATCTACAGTTGATTATGATATTTTCTTTTGAAGGAAAGCCAAATATTAATGTTTGTTCGGGAAAATGGTGCAGCAATAGAAGAGAAAATCATTTCGAAGCAGCGAATTATTGTATGTGAATAAACACAAAAACAAATCAAATTTACCTCCAAAATCTCATCCATGGAATGATGGAGAATGTATTTAGTATTGTGTGCACAATTGGCAACATCTAATTCCTATAAATCTATACGCGATCTACCGTTATGGTTTCAGTCTTATCATTTTGAATGCTTTGACTATTGCACAATGTTCATTCTCATTTTGTTAAAATAAACCAATTCTGATTTTAAAACAAAATCACACAAGAGCTTTCATGACTTCGGCCAAATCACTTAAGAAAGTGTTGTTGTTTAAAAAAAGATTGCAACACATTTAATTAAAAATTGAACTTATAAACAAATGGAACTTAATTTATTTAGTCTTTTGTGTTAATGTTTGGTTAAATTGTAGGTGGTTTGATTGAAAAAATTGCACATCGTTACATTTGCGTTTATGTTTTTCTTTATAAAAATAATACACCGCCAGGAACTGGCTGTTTTTGTCGAATAGTTTAATTGAATAAGTGTTTTCATTGGGTTGAGTATCGAATAAGCATCGGAAGATTTATGTATCAAAATTAGTGTGAATTCCGTTTCGTTTAGGTTTCATTTTATTTTTGATCTTGTATTTCGCGAAGAAGGTGGGATCGATTTAGTCGAATAGTAATAGTGAGTCAAGAAGGAACTTAGGCATCGCATGTTTGTACATGTAACGGCAAAATTTGATGAGTTGCTTAGTGAAGTGCTTGAGACTCTTACTTACTTGCATGGTATGGCTGCGCAAAAGTTTGTTTATTCGTTTCCAAATTTTGGACGATAAGTAATCTTCGCTTTCACCGATGGTGCGTGGTAACGATTTAATTATGGTATTTTCACTGAATTCAGCGTCAGATTCATCGAAACGATTTGTTTCCGATGCACTGTTATCCTTAACGAAACGAATTCCATTACCGAAATCGATATCACCTTTGGCAACCGCATTTAAGCTCGACAACAGTTTCAATTTTAGAAATACGGATATATCGCTGCTGGTGTAGTTCTTGTATTTATGATAAATCGAACTGATATCCATCCAATTCAAAAATGATTCGTCATTTTTGTCATTGTTGCCGATGTCTTTGTCACTGAGTTGATCGCTGTGCAGAGAATTATAATTGGAGGCCGTATTCCGACACAACACTATCGTGGCAATTGCACACAATACAATCAATTGTTTCAGCATTTTTGGAAATTTTTATGAAAAAAAAAAAAACGGTGGTTGATTTTTTTGATTTTTTTTGTGGGTTAGTTGGTTTATCTTGCGGGGATTTTTGTTTAAAGAATTGGTTTTTCTATTGGTTTTTTTTCCTATAGAGAATTTTATCCAATTTTCAATCAATTGAAAATCAATAAAACTCGATGTGATGGTGATAACGCAACAGAGATGAAGGAATCTGAAGAGGTGTTAAATCGGTTGCTGTTTTTGGAGACTAACGAAACTAAACTGTGCAATTTGTTTTGACTACTTGGCTATTTTATACTTGATACAGTCACTGAATTGGATACAATGATTATTATTGCACTTATTTGTTGCTGGTGTTGCTACGTTTTTTTATGTTCGTTAGATTCGTGATGCTACACCGCTTCATCATTCATCATTTTATGTGCGCCCGAACGAGTGAGCAAGTGTGTGTGCGCGAGCGAGCGCATCAAATGCTCTTGATGTTTATGTAAATATTCTAAAACAAATAAGAGAGAAATATTGCTGGCGATGCGCGAAAAGAATCGGCATACAAACCGATATGCTCAGGCGCAAATGCGAACATAACCGAAAATCTTTTACGTACACGGCGTGCAACGTGCAAGCGAGCGAGCGCATACACAAAGAACAAAATCAAAACACGAAACATCATCATTTTTGTTAGGCTTTTTCTTTTTTTTGCACGCAAACCAAGGGGCGATTCACGGGCAATTTCAAGTTCGAGTTTAGAAAGTTATCTGTGGAATCAGTGAGTTGCACTGAGTTTTCACGAGTTTTATGCGCATTTATCCGAGTGTTATTAAGTTTTTCATCTTTGGAGCTGTCAAAAATAGCGACATCTAACGCAAATTTGAAGTAATGTATGAATAAATGCTGCAGCATTTCATCAACGAAAATATTGTTTCAAAACGAAAAAAAATGATCTAAATTATTTTTTTCATTTAATAGTGCCGTATAAATTGACAACAAATAAAAAATGAAATGCGTCGCTGAGCATAAAAATGGGAATACAGATCTGTTACAACAACAGCCGAACATAAAATATTGTTCCCTAAAAACGTTACATGAATTTCCATCTAACGCGAGTGTAACATGAGTTGCATTAGAAACAGTATTAGCTCATGTTACACTCGCGTTGGATAGAAATTCATGTAACGTTTTTTGGGAACAATATTTTATGTTCGGTTGTTGCTGTAACAGATCTGTATTCCCATTTTTATGCTCAGCGACACAAATGATTTTTGAACGTTTTACAATGTTTGTATTACGTATGCGAAACCGGTCGCATTGAACAATTTAGAAGTGTCAAAATGGATCGTGTCAACTGTCATTAAATTGCGGTTCATATTTAAATTATAAAATTGATTTGGGGAGATATTTTGAATTGTAAAGTTTATTTGGTTGTGTAAATCGCTTCGTTATTCCCTTTTAATCAGTTAGAAATGTTAACAAAATTATATTCACATGTTCAGACATGTATTTTTTGTGTAATTGAAAAGGTGCAATTTTTTGAAAGTTGATACGAGTTCTTCAAGTTTGATGTGAGTTTTGTATGAGTTTTGGGAGTACGAGCATTCGTGAATCTCCCCAGGGCGCACACCGATCGAAGATGCATTCGGTTGCATGATCATATTATGATGATGTTGATTGTCTTAAGCCACGAGATCGGATTCATTGTACAATTGCATTTGAGCGCATGCCTTTCAACACTAGTAGCTACTTGGATCTCAACCTTTTTTTTGCTGCCCAATTTTCGCTGGTGATGGTGATGTTGCTGCTGTTTGAAATTAGCCAGCCGCAATTGCGCGCACGCGCGCGATCACAACCATTCAATAAACGATGCTAACGAATGCAATTTATCAATGTAGCATGCAATTCAAAACGATGCGCCACAATGGTTTTCCATGTCTTTTGCGAGCGGGAGATGGTTACAGTCTGTGGCAAAAAAGAAAAACTCTTTTTTTTTAGGTTCTCTTTCCACATGGCGGGAGATCAGAAGCACAGTAACACACTCTTCAAAAGCAGAAAAAAAAACAAATTACGCTGAGTTAAATATCGGCTAATAAGCACAAAAGAATTCATCAATAAAGGACCAGAGAGTGTGATAAAAAGCGAGATAAAAACAAACAATGCAAAAGCAACAACATCACAAAAAAAACTACACAAATTCTGTTCAATTAGCTATGTGCATTTTCAATAGGTGTGCGTGTAAGAAGAAGTGTTTGTGTGAGTGAGTTTTTGAGTGAGTGTGTGCTTGTGAGCAAGGCAGACCATTCGTTACGCTGAAAAATGCACTTGGAATTTTTCAATTGAATCAGACCAAATCAAATTACATTCGTACATTTGTAGGATAATATTGAATGATGATTACTATGATGATGATGATGGTGGTGCTGTCGAGCAATTTACAAGCATGAGCGCAAAAAATTGAATTCGTTCGTGTTCATAGACACAAAATCAACACAACGCCAGCTAGAAAGTGTGATGTGTTATCACATAACTTTTTCTCTGAAAATTACAAATTAACATTTCTACCCTATTGAAAAATCGGTTTGCACGAGCGCTGTTTGCTATACATTTATTATTGAGCCGAAGAAAAACATCGAATTCGTTTAAGAATTTTAATAGAATCAACAAATCTTACATACACACACATGAAAGATTCGAGAAATTAATTTATTCATGAACAAAAGTAAAACAATGGAACACGTACTGCGATAAAAGCCTATATAAACAATGTTATTATATTTGATAGTATTTGAGTCGATATCAATGCCGATGTGGCAGCGCCACCTATAGAGATTCCTTATTAAAATAAGTGGAACTATTGAGTGCGTGCACCATATCGCACGTAAATTTTCAATATGGCGGCGCCCATAGAATTGAAACGTTAACCAATTTTGTAGTCACGGAATATCACCGTATGATGGAACACACTTGAAAACGTTTAAATTTTCATTTTATAACTTGTTTGCATTGAATATGCTCATCACATCGAATGCAATTAGTCATAAACAACAACAGCAACGGCGGAGGCAGTAGCAATTCGTTAAAATGCTATGCAGATAAAACTCGGTTGCATCAGTTAAAATTTGTGCGTATCACACAGACGTAAATGAGTTGTTTGTAATCGGGTGCGACGTGTTTGGAATGAGTAAATCACGTGTGATTTCTATCGATAAAAATAGCAGAGAATTGAAGTACTTTTCCAAACATTTTTCAACTTTTCTTCATTTGCTTTTTTTCGGTGAAATTTATATCTAGGGGAAAAGTGTGCGTAAGCAAATTAACGTCAATAGAATAAATGAAAGTCTTGACGTACGATTACAGAATGTCGAATACTTTAAAAAATGCACCGTTCCGCGAAATAATTTACGCGATCGCACAAAACCCATCGCGCTAGGTGGAAATAAAAATATTGAAAATTCAGTACGGTAGCATTGGTTTGGGGACGGTTGGACAACAAAACAGCGGCACTCACAAGAAAAACCGGGCACACAGCTGTGCACGAGATTGTTGTTTTTCCAACACGATATTTGTTCCTCTTTTTAACCTGCTACTGCTGCTACTTTTGTTACTCACTTAGAATATGGGCACACTTGCACGGTGGCTTTTTCTTTGCTCTATTTGTGGAGAACGCCGAGCGGCTCGTGTTCATCGAAAACAAACAAAAAGCACCAAATCGCAAACGCTGACACGAAATAGAGCATACAAAACGATACACAAACCCAAGTTGGAAGCAACAAGAGAAAAAAAAAATGTTCATCGTACATTGAATGAAAACAAATATAAACATAGAAATAGATATAGATTTAATTGACTGTTCGAGAGTTGTTTAGTCATTTCTTGTGTTTTGTACTTTAGTTCCGTTTAAATGGAATTTGTTTGTTCTGCATCGTCTGCATATCGCAATTCCGGCTGTGTATGTGATGCTTTCAATCTATTATGTGCTTGTGCATTGATTGATCAGGCCTTTTTGTTCTGCTCTCATCATTCGAATTCCAATAAGCAACTGTATCGTTGTTTGCAATCGCAAAAGGCCAAAAAAGTGCATTAACCGCAGACATGAAATCATTTTGTGCGCGCGCCCATCTCATTTTCCATACCGAGTGCACGGTGAATACGGAATTCAATTTTGTACAATTTTGCAATTGGATGATCATCATCATCATCATCATCATATCTTTTTCAATCACATCAATTGAAGATATTGGCAAGTGGCAAAAACACACAGACATCGAAGCAACGTGAAATTGTGTAAAGTAACTGCATATTGCATTTGTTGTGAATTCAACTGAACTAGACTACCGATCTAGGGTTCTGAACATTTTCACACTGTAAATCATGCAATTCAATAATTATTTATGGAATTGACGATTTAGCAAATTGGCCATTTTGATATCGAATGGCGCAGACGCACAGTAGCCGCCAGATTATGATGGAAATGCCAAACAAAGTGGAAAAATCCACAGTTCGATTTAATGTTGTTACATGACCAAATCGAATAAAGTTGATCAAAGTGAAATTGCTGAAACCAAGTGCACAATAGTCGAAAATGTAAGAAGCAATGAAATGAGTGCTAGCACGAGCTAATCATAAAATGATGGAAATATTACAAGCAAATGATATCATTAGATCAAACAAAAGGGCCGCATAATACTCCATCCATTGTTGAAAATTATAAATTTTTTGTTCCATCATTTGGTGTGGCGTGCAGGCGAAGAGCCGTTGCGCGTGTGGCTTCCATTTCATTACTTTTTTCCACCTCAATGAGTTTCTTTGTGCGCAGATGACGAGGGAGAGAGAGTGAGAGACCATCGTCCAAGTATCAATTGAATAGTGCCCCATTGATAGGGCTAATTTAAAACGATCAGCGCCAAACAATAAAATACGATTATTGAAAATGATGAATATAAGAAAAGCATGCCCAATCCGAACAAATGGATACATTTGTAGCATACATTTAGCTGCCATGTGATCATATCATGCAATTTAATAACATTTCATTTTCATTCGACTCAGTGACGACGGTCTGACGAATCTCCGGATCATTTACCGGATCTCTATGCGATCATAGACTTCATTTTCAATTCACTAACTAAAGATAGTTATTGAGGTGCTTTTTTCCTCCCTCTCTCTCTTTCTCTTCAAATTTCAGCTGTATATATCGAAAAAACTTAACAAAACGATTCATTTACCTACTATGGATCTACATTTATTTATGAATATGGAAAATAAAATTAAACGAAGATAAAGAATACACACGCAGCAAATAACAGTAT